CGCAGAGCCCACATCCAGGGGCTCCCCTGGACATGGGTTCTGCGCTGCTGCCACCAGCCCCATGCAGCACAGAGCTCAGGTGGGCAGCATGTGGGTTCGAGGGAGAGTAGGGAGGGGGGTTGAGCCCTTCTTCTCATGGTACACAGCCTGGGCAAACGCTGGCAGCAGCAGCAGGCAGTGACACTCAGGGTGCAGATGTCCAGTGCATGGGGCTTATCTCCAGTGCCCAGTGACTTCAGCAGCTGCATGTGAGTGGCACAGAGCGCCAGCAATATATATGGTCTGGCAGATGCTGCACTCCTCACTGTGATGTGCAGCACTGGCTGGAGCCGTGCCCTGCTGGGCACCTGCGCCCCGAGCACTCCTCCCTGCTGCTACACCATGGGGGAAGTGTGGGGGCGATCCCCACACTCCCTCACACCCCACAAATGCCACACACCCTGCCCCACAACCCCCTCACATATATACAAACCCTAACATATCCTTTTCCCCCTCCACACACAGCCACATTCTTTCACAACCCCCCACACCCTACCATACACACACACACACACACACCCACCACTCTCACTACATATCCACAACCCCCCACAAAATACAAGACTAAGAATTTATTTTTGAGTTATTATGCAATTGCCTCTATATACACTATGCAAACAAATCACAACAAAAATGTTTTTTGTAATAAGATTAACATATGTTACAGATTCATAGATTGTAAGGCCAGAAGGGACCTCAGAAGATCATCGGGTCCAGCCCCCTGCACCAAGCAGGAAATGGGGTATAGTAAATGTTTGACTTATAGTGTATGATTTAGATTTTTTCTGGTTCTAAGATGGCAACCCCCACCCTCCCAAAAGAAGTATTTCTGGGGGGCAAGGGGAGGGACATCTGGTGGCAAAGGTCAGGGGTTAGCGGCGGGACTTCTGGTCCCATGTTGGCGACAAGGGGGAGGGGCAACTGTCAATGGGTGCAGCCCTGGACAGCTCACCAAAACTTGTTAAGCAGCCCTTCAGCCAAAATAATTGCCTGCCCCTGCCATAAGACATATCTATACAGCTTTAAACACTTATTTTCTTCCTTTGGTATATTATCTTCGAAGCTTTAAAATAACATTTCCGTCTTCTGCTAGTTCCGGGAAGAAGGGTTCATCTGCTAACTGCTTCTGATGAGTCAACAAAGAGAACTAAGACGCTGGACTTGGGCCTGTGGGAGGGGCACGTGGCACAAGAATTCTTTGCAAGGTTCCCGTCATGGAGTTCCTTCTTAGCCATTCTGCTGTGGAAAGAGTTTGCAACCTTCCTCCTACCCAAAAGTAGACTCGAGTAGCATTTCTCAACCTGTGGGTTACCACCCAAAAGTGGGTCACAAGAATATATGAAAGGGGTGCAAACCAACTTTACAACTGGATTCTCCTTTAAAGGAGAAAAACATGGAAAACTGTGGGTTTCCCCTTGCAGGCTGGCAGAGTTCCAGCCTGCAAGGGGCTATTTGTGGCTGGGGGAGCAGGAAGAAGGTGATCAGGAAGGGGGTGCCATTTGTATGCGCACACATGCACGTGGCAGCCAGGCAGCATGGAAAGCAGCTCCCTGCAGGTAAGTCTAAAGGGCAGGGGAGGCATAGACAATGTGTTGGGAGGGCAGCAGGGCACAGGCAACATGTTGGGGGATATGGAGGGGCAGGTGTCCCCCCATATTTCTGCTCCCACAGTGGACACAGGGCTTCACCCTGGCCAGATTGGCACGGGCAGCAGCTGCCTCCATGACCCAGCAGGCAGGACCCAGCACAGGAGGGCAGAGCAGGGCAGCAAGATTCATTGCTGCCTGCACCCGCTGTGCCACCAGCAGTGTGAGAAGTAATGGACCGGGGGAGGGGGGGAGGTGGCAGTGGTGGCTAGGCCACAGCGGCAGGGTAGAGCCCGGTACCCGAGTGGCTAGCAGCAGGAGGAGGTGAGAGCAGTGTGGCGCACCCCCCAATCCGTTACTCCTCATGCTGCTGGTGGCACAGTTGGCAGGGGGGGTCCCAGTAGTGGCGGCACAGCAACAAGCCTCACTGCCTGAAGCAGGAGGCAGCGGGTTGGGAGTGAGGGGCACTGGGAGGGCTAGGGGGCTGCTTTCTACTTAAAGTATTTACTGGGTTGGGACTGGCCATGGATGTTTACAAATGGATCCTGGTACAAAAAAGGTTGAGAAACACTGGACTAGATGACCCATTCAGACACCTACAGGAATCCGCAGCTCTGGTCACCAGTACCTTATGGGTCTACAGCAGCACCTTTGGTGCCTGGCACCCAGATATTTCCCCACCTATGGCTGCCCTTGGCAAGTCTTTCCCCTCTTTTTTAAAGAGAACCTCCACAACCCAAGGTGCTCTGTAGGAAAGACAGCACACCTCTAGGATCTTTTACTTTTCCTCTGAATCTCCGTAGTGGCAGGAGAGGGGGACCTGCCTTTCTCTCTGCAGCCCACTTATTTTTTGGGCTTACCATGGACCTGATGTGCAGAGCCCATGGAAGCAGAGAAAAGGAGATAGGAAAGACCAAGAGAAAAGGCAGCTGAGCTCTCCTTTCAAGCGGAGAAAGAGGGCAGGATCTGTATATGGATCTGGGGTGGGAAAGGAAACAGTTTCCCCCTTATTACCCATTCCTATATATTTAAAAATTTAGGGTCACTGAATTTGGCCTGAACTCACACTGCACAAGGGCAAACTGCTCTTGTGAGAAACTTGGGTTCCACATAAACTATCCCATCCCTTCACAAGTTTTATGTTTAAGATTTCTAGGTCTCAAAAAATTAACATCGTTTCCCTAACTTACTGCAGTAAAGTCTGAACAAAGAACTTAACGCCGAACAACTTTGCCTCATATAACAGAAGCCCCTCTATTTGCCTATCGGCTATAGATCAACTGGTGCACCCATTCACTCACTATACAGTATGACACAGGACGCTCAGTTTCTATATTTGTATGCTCCTAATACACAGACAGGATAGGATACCACAAGACGAACTTGGTGATAAGGCTGTACGCAGTTAAGCACACATACTCTGCCATTAATAGCAACAAGCTAAGACTGAGCACTTGAAGATGTCACATAAAGCTAAGACATGTACAAAACCAGTAGTCCTAGGTTGCCTTTAGAGACTTTGGATTGTTAATAAACAATGTTTTCTTAAATGCAATTTTCTTGAATGTTTGGGATTTTTATAATATAATATAACATATTACAGTTTTGATGTTACAGGAGAGGCTTAATTACAGTTTGATTACAGGGCAGTTTGGTACAGTTCACTTTTAGTTAATTTGAGACAGAGGTAGCAGCAAATGACTATAGGTTATTAGCACAATACTAGCCTGTGACATCATAATAATGCAACATCACTTTCTGGTAAAAGTCACATCCTTCAGATATGACTTAATGACCTGAATGTAGTTCAAATACTAAGAATCTGCTCCTTCTGCTAGTATGAGGTTTCCTATTGATTTCAGGCCCAATAAAGGTATAATATGTACAAGTGAGATCATATAATTTACTTTAAGACTTGATGTGTCTTAAGCAAAGTAATAGCATAGTTCAAACACTAATTGTTATGATAAATACAAGAATCAACATGTACAGGAATAATCGCTAGGCTATGCAGATCAGACTGTATTATCTTAATGGTTGCTATAGGAAAAAAAAAAACACCATTGTGAAATAGGCTGGAAGGCCATGTATTTGGAATAAAAATGCATAAACATGTTCCAAGAAAAGAAAACACCTTCCCACGTTCTTGTGAGGATACCAGACATGTTTTCAATGAATACGGCCCAATCCTGTAGTATGCTGAATGACTCCTCGTGAAACTCTTAGCACTTGGCAGGGACTGGCACCTTGGGAATTATTTTGTTTTAGACAAGCCACCTCAAACAACACCATGCTCTCTCATGTCTGAGATGGTTTCCCTATTTACTGCAAAACTGTAGATAGGTGGTATTTAATGTAAGCTTATTCAATCCCTATTATTGCAAGTTATTCAAGCTTTTTTGCCACCTTAACAAAAGAATCTGCAAATACCAGTACAACAATGCTAATGATTTCACTTAAATAAAGCACATTTCAAGTAAGGGGGTAAAACGTATGTGCACAAAACACCTTTCACAACAGAAGTCGTATTTGTAGAATTGCCTATCCCAAAGTATTCAGTTGATGTTTTGTCGGGTACCAAACAGGCAGGATTACAAATGTGATGGCTGAGATAGAGACTACTGCATTTTTCATGTTCTTTTTTTTTTTTTTTCCTTAATTGGAAAACTCCTTACTTAAGTTGTGTTAATTCAGGATGATCAGGAGGACTGCAATAATTTAGGGGTCTGTCTAACTTGGTGTGCCGGAAACGGGAGGTAAGCACAAATCTTGCCCTGACTTCATAAAGCTTGTCTGAATATTAATCAAAATAGCATTTCAGATCTAGGCAAACTACATAAGTCTTTTCTTTGCCAGGGCTTGAACTCAGCGTGAGGATTTCAGGAATTAAAGTGACGTGTTGCGATGGTGTAATAAACAGTATCAGACAAAATGCCTTCCCATAATATTAGATGATGCCATTGCCCACCAATCAGAAACCTATAGTCATGTACTTCAATCACCAATGAGGTACAAGGCAAGAACACTCAAGCGGACCTGGCCATTTAGCACTAAAAATAAAGTGGATCACAGCCAATTGTTTTCACTTTGGAATAAGAGTTTATGCGATTCTTTTCGGTTTTTTTCCACCTGGCATCTTATTGTTCAGCCTTTGCAGAGGCAGAGAGGCAAGTGATTATCGCCAATATGTAGCGAGACAGTCCAACATAACCCAACATCTCTGAATAATTCAGCGCGTGCACACGACCGTGAAAATAGCTACGCTCTGGAAAACACTTTAGACTGGAATCATAAAAAAAAAAAAAAGGTGGGGGGGAGACTCCAGTAATGTGAAGCCGCTAGATTGCTGTTTTCACTGGATCAGAAAGTACTCACCTGTCCTGCAGTGTCGTACAGACCCAGCAAATACTGCTTACCCCCAACTGTAACACTGACTGGGGTGGGGGGAAAAAGGAAAACAGAAAATTAGGCATGGAGGGGTCTTTTAATTTTCTTAACTCGTTCTATCATTCTACGAAAAACATGGCTTGCAAGGCAGGCGAGGGGCAATCCCTGCCAAGTTGAACCGGGGAGGCAGACGAGTGGTTTCAATTATCCAACCAGACTCAACAAAACATTGAGGGGAGCCCGAGAGAGAGAACAAGAAATGAGACGTCTGAAACAGCCAGCACAAAAGCACCTCCGCAACGTGCGGCTCCCTGCCCTCGGAGAGCCACAAAGGCCGGCTGGAGTAGCCACGGCAGGAGGCGGCCAGCTCCCCCCCAACCTGGGGCAGCCGGGTCCAAGCGCTTGACCTGCACTCCCCCCCCACCCTTGTACTGGGGCTTTGGCCCCCTCTCTTGGCATCCCCAGCCGCCACTCGGTTGTGGACTGGTGTGGGGGCAGCCGCGCTAGGCCGGCGGGGGGAAGGTCAAGGGAGGAGGAGGAGGCGGCAGGCTGGGGGCACACAGCAAAGTTTGGGCAAAGTTGTGGCGGCGGGGG